AAAGGCAAACAGATACCTATCAATATATAGTTACATAGATTTCATAGACATTAAGGGCTGGAAGGGACCTCATGAGATCATCAGGTCCAGTTCCCCTGCCATAGGCAGGAAGTCAGCTCGGATCGAGTGACCCAAGCAAGAAATATATCTACCTGTTTTTTGAAAGAATCCAAAGTTGGTACTTGCACCACCTCTGGGGGCAGTTTGTTCCAGACCCTGGAAACACGCAGTGTAAAAAATTTTTTTCTTATGTCTAGTCTAAATTGGCCTTCCTGGAGTTTATGGCTGTTAGACCTTGTTATCCCTTGGGGAGCTCTGGTGAACAGTTGTTCTCCCAGGTCCTGATGTACCCCTCTTATATAGTTGTAGACTGCCATCAAGTCCCCCTCAAACCTTCTGTTCTGCAGACTGAAGAGTCCCAAGTCCCTCAGTCTCTCCTTGTACAGCCTTCCCTCCGGGCCTTGGATCATATGAGTGGCTCTCCTCTGGACTCTCTCAAGCTTCTCCACATCCTTCCTGAAGTGGGGGGCCCAAACTGGATGCAATACTCCAGCTGCAGTCTTACCAGGGCCGAGTAAAGCAGGAGGATGACTTTTCTGGTTTTGCTTGAGATGCATCGATGGATGCATGCTGGAGTTTAGTTTGCTTTGCCAGCCACAGCATCGCATTGGTGGCTTATATTCATCTTGTGGTTAATCAAGACCCCCAAGTCCCTTTCGGGTGTGGTGCTAGCGAGCATAATAGTGCTGAGTCTGTAAGCACATTAAGAGTTCTTCCTACCAAGGTGCAGCATCTTACACTTCTCTACATTGAAGGTCATCAGGTTTCAGTCGGCCCACCTTGAGAGCGTGTCCAAGTCGGCCTGTATCCCCAGCCTGGCCTGCAGTATGACCACCCTCCCCCATAATTTGGTATCATCCGCGAACTTGGCCAGTTCATATCTGACTCCTGAATCCAAATCATTGATGAAGATGTAAAAGAGTACCAGCCCAAGTACTGAGCCCTGGGGGACTCCACTGGTCACCCTGTGCCATGTTGATTTGCATATCCAGCATGCCGTTCAACATATTTTATTATTGATAGTTTGTACAGAGGGCATGTCACAAAATAATGCTGTACAGGGATATTAGGAGCTGCATTATCACAGCAACCCAACTAGTTTATATTAGCCCCAATGAGAAAGAGACCTCCCCCCCTCCCTGCCCCCGTCCCAACCAGTACACCTGCCAGGTAACAATTCCCTTAAATTGGAGAAGAGGAGTACATACCCAAGTACACCCGGGCTACAAATTGTTACGATGTGCCTACTTCAAAACAAAACCAAATACCAAATACTGTGATCTCTAAAGGTTTAGGAATTCACAAAATCAAGAAATCCATAACAATCTGAAAACTAGACTACATGGCTGGAAGATAAAATAAACCAAGCGGAAGTTAAAATAAATCCAACCTTTTTAGATTCAAGATACCTAATGGCAGACTCAAGGCACCCCTTGGAAAATGCCAGCTCTTAGCTTTCACTCATTTTTTGACTATGAAAAAATAATAGAGTAACTCTTTTGCAAAGAAATCAGAAAGACCACAACAGATCAGAAGGCTTTTGACACTATAGATTTCTATTTGAAATGTCTGGGTTTATTTCATCATTCATGTGTATGTATTTGCACACCTAATATTGTATGATACCCATACCACAGCAGCCTGGTTGAGTATCAGTATACTAGAAGAATCACCTATATTTCAAATCCAAAAAAAAACAGGTTTCTAATGCTTTAGCTAAACATATCCTCCACATAGTATTAATTCCACATTGCTTGGTCCCAGATCTTTAAATATATTTAAGTACCTTTCTGTCATTTTAGGTGCATCACTCCATGATTTAAATACCACTGACATCCTCAAAGCTAAAGGAGCTTAGCTGGACCAGTTCATTGTTTGAGCTCTGAGGGGGCTGATCCTTTTTTTCTCTGGAGCCCTTGCTCCCTTCCTTCTCACCCACCTCCATGCTGCCACTGGCCAGGCTGGCAGCCACCCAGCCGCGTGCTGCCTGAATTTCAGAGAAGAAAGGATTAGGCCCCTTGAAGTTCAGATGACAGCCAGGTGGCTGGCAGCCCAGCCAGAAGTGGCACGGGGTTGGGGTGGGGAGCTGCAGAGGGGCTTATTCCTTTTTTCTCTAGAGCTTAGCCCCCAACACCACCATTGGTGGGTGCAGAGAGCCCATCCAGGCAATGGTGGGGGGCACCACAGCTTATGAGTGCTCCAGGGCTACACTGTGTCTGAGGTCCCTGGGGGAGGAGGGGGAATGAGGTGCCATGCCCAGCCCTACTGTGCCCTGGCATCCCCTGTCACCCACTGCATCGTGGGATGCTGAAGAATAGCTTTGGAAATTGGCCGCACCTTAATAGAACAAAAGCAAAATTAGGTAGATTAGAGATAATCCTTCCCTAAACCGGCATAACTTTAAGCTGAATAATGAGTGCTTTAAGCCATTTAAAAGGTGTTAACATGCAGCTGATCCAGGGCCTAAGAAGCCACCTAAAATTACTATGTAACAAGCCCCTATGATTTATGTGTATGTGTATGTGCATGTGTGATGTAGTACCTGCAGGTGAGATAGATATGAAATGCTGCCCAGTTTAAGAGTTTAGGGCTGGGGGACTGGGTGGACCTACTGTTGGGAGTTAGGAAAAGTACCCCAACCACTGGGCTATTAGCTGTAATGGGAGAGAGAGGATGTCTCTCTCATTCTTCATAAGAGATGGCTTAGGTTCAACAACCTCTAAGGCAGCATTTAAGTCCTTCCCTTCCCACAGGTATTTCCTACTGGGTAATTTAAATGGTTCCATTTTTTTTAATCATGTTTAGAATCTACAATCTTTCTGAGTTTGAAATAAATTATTGTTTTTCCGTTTCTAGCAGCAAAAGTACCAACAATTTTCCAAGCAAACCTTAACACACGCAATGTTGTTTCCTTTTATTCAATACAAGCAGCCAGATTCTATTCAAACTATTAGGCATCTAAGGATAGAAACAGACATTGGTTAACATCGCATTTGTGCCTCCATAACATTTTTATGGAGCCACAAATGCTGAGAAAATAAATGTTCCTACTTTTGTCATGCCACATCAATGGGGAGATAAAAGGTACTAATAAAGTCTGCTTCTTTATTTCAGCTGACATCTATTTGGGAGAGTACTGGCAGTTCAGAGCTGCCTGAACTCTCTTGCCATGCTAGACACATGGTCCAGGGGCTTTAGGGGTCCAATCCTGCACACCCTATGTGCCTCCTGTGGAGGGATGGTTCCTAGCAGGGGAGGAGGCCAAAGGAAAAGGTGTGTGAGAGTCGGGTAATCCCAAGTGCCCCTTGCTTTCATACAGGGACCTGCACTGACATGTATCTCTGCATGAAGCATGGGTCCTGGTATGGAAGAACAGGGGACCAGGAATTACCTACTTCCTGTGCAGCACCCAGTGCCAGGACCCATGCTGACCTGTACTTTTGCATGAGTCATGGATCAGCACAGGTCCCCACATGGAAGCAGAGGACATCAGGGATTACCTGGTTCCTACACCACTCCATGCTACCCCGTGCCAGGATCCGCACTGACCTGTGCCTCTATGTGAAGCATGAGTCAGCATGGGTTCCAGCAAGGAGTTGCAGAGTTGTATGGGGACCAGGGAATTCCTGGAGCCCCATGCCTCCATGCCAGAACTTGTGCTGACCCATGCCTCTGGGTCAGTGTGGGACTTAGTGCAGGTCCCAGTGTGGAGGCACAAGGGGACCCATTGCTGATCCACACCTCTTCCTGAAGCACAAATCAGCGTGGGTCCTGACCCAAGAGCACAGGAATCTCCATCACCCTGTACCTTCTTGCCAGGAATTCAGGCAGAGGCATGGGTCAGTACAGTTCCCCATGTAGAGGCAGGAATTCTCCAGCTCCCATGCTGGGCTGAGCCCCTGTGCTGCTCCACACCAGGGCCCACACTGACCCCATGCTTCCTCATGAGGCACCAGTCAGAATAGGGAATCTCCCAGAACTGGGCAGGGAAGCGGGGGGATGGGGGTCATGTCCTGCCATAACTGATCTGCTTCTGTTCAGCAATATGTTTCTACCCTAAGTGAACTTAGGCAGAAGAGTGCAATCCTATTCCATCCTGTTCAAAACCCTGAAAATCCATATTTCATCCAGTTTCATCCATTATGTGGCTCTTATGGTTGTCACAAAAAAGCAACATGGAGGAAAGGACCCACATACTTTCTGTTTCAACGGGGACTTGAGCAAAATAGAATAAAATCACACTTGGATGCCTGCAAGGTGGAACAGAATTTGGCCTAGGCAGTTCATGAAAAGTAAGCTTCAAATATGAAGGTAATGCTAATAGACCAATGAAACACCCACTGAAATCAATAGAAAGTTTCCTGTTATCTTTAACAGAAATTGAACTATATCCCAAATTCTGAGAGCTACTGAACACCTGAATTATACATTGAGTTCATTGGAACTTGAAAATGCTTATCATCTCTCTGGATTAGGCCCATTACTAATACATTGCTCAAATTAATTATATCTATTTGAAGATCTGTTTCAGGTTCACCTATCCCTAATTGCTAGATTTTCTGTTTGCATTAATAATCTTGATAAGATCACCTGAGGTATTATTGCTGACATTGTAAACAGACCAACTGAAATAATTGTCTTAAAAGTATTAGGAACACTCTCACTCATTTTAATGAAGTCTGATCTTTTAAACCTCAACATGACTGCTTAAATGCTGGTTTAAATAAACACTGAAATTACTAGTTAAGTAACAGAAACATCTAGCAAATATGTTTACTCAGTGGAACTGGCATCAATCGTTCAATTGTTTCTTTCATTTAAGTTCGTTTCAATATAACTGAAAGAATATGATCTACAGTGGCTACTTCCTCAGTTGACTTCTGTTTGCATCCCATTTACAGAATATAGTCTCTTGTGGAAGTAGCTTATGATGAGTTTTGATGAAAGATGGCCTTAAAAACAAGTGCTATGAGATTGTAAATCAAATAGTAGATTACTCCATTGAAGATTTGGAGGTTTGGTATTGTAACTCTAAGGGAAAGCTCTTGGATTTAGGTGTTACAATCTGTGAAGAGCTATAATATCTTGCAAGAGCTTGACAAAGGCATTTAAAGCTAGTTCCTCAAAAACTAGCTCACCCCATTCTTATTAAAAAATTAGGCGACTGTGGCATCGATGCCTACACAGTCAGATGGGTCGCAAATTGGCTGGAGGGCCAGACCCAGAGAGTGGTGGTGGATGGGCCTTTTTCGACCTGGAAGGATGTGGGCAGTGGGGTCTCCCAGGGCTCAGTCCTCGGACCCGCACTGTTCAACATCTTCATCGGTGACTTGGACAAGGGGATGAAAAGCACCTTGTTCAAATTAGCAGATGACACTAAAATGTGGGGAGAAGTGGGCACGCTGGAGGAGAGGGACAAGCTGCAACTAGATCTAGACAGGTTACAGGGGTGAGTGGATGAGAACAGGATGGGACTCAATCCTGACAAGTGCAAGGTACTGCACCTGGGGAGGAAGAGCCAGCAGCATACCTACAGGCTGGGGAGCTCCCTTCTCATCAGCACAGAGGCAGAAAGGAATCTTGGTGTCATTATTGATTCCAAAATGATCATGGGCTGCCAATGTGGGGACGTGGTCAGGAAGGCTAACTGCACCTTGTCATGCATCCATAGATGCATCACGAGCAGGCCCAAGGAGGTGATCCTCCCCCTCTATGCAACACTGGTCAGGCCACAGTTGGAGTACTGCATCCAGTTCTAGGCACCGCACTTCAGGAGGGATGTGGACAACATGGAGAGGGTCCAGAGGAGGGCCACTCGCATGATCAGGGGCAGCAAGGCAGGCCCTCCGAGCGTAGTCTAAGGGACCTGAACCTGTTCAGCCTCCACAAGAGAAGGCTTAGAGGGGATCTGGTGGCCGTCTACAAACTGGCCAAGGGGGACCAGCAGGCTATGGGGGAGTCCCTGTTCCCCTGAGCAGTACCAAAAGTAACGCAGAATAACGGCCATAAGTTGACTGAGAGTAGATTCAGTCTAGACATCAGGAGGCACTACTTCACAGTCAGGGCGGCTAGGATCTGGAACCAACTTCCAAGAGAAGTGGTGCTCGCTTCTACCCTGGGGGGTCTTCAAAAAGAGGCTAGACAACCCCCTAGCCGGTGTTGTTTGACCCCAGCATTCCTTCCTGCCCATGGCAGGGCGTCAGACTTGATGATCTGCTCAGGTCCCTTTCAACCCTACCTGCTATGAAACTATGAAACTATAAATAGTACTTTGGATAAGGCTTTTTCTCTAGTAGGGCACAGTAGTTCCAGCAGCTCACTATAAAGCTCCATAGGTGTGAACGCAAGCCCTGCTCTGGGATTTTGCCAAATGTGGTATTAGCCATTTTTATGCTCTGATATACCATTGGCTATAGAAACTGGTATGTTTTCAACATGCTAGTGTATGGGCCTCTATGCTGGGGGTGATCTTTGACCACAGTCTGTTTTGGTAAGTATGGCTATTTGAATGGTTTCCCCTATTAATTCCATGGCAACTGGTATTCCTTGAGATAGGAATAATAATCAGGTATAATAATATTTGATTTTTTGTTTACATATATCAAGGACCTAGTGAAATTCTCAATAGTTTAGACTGTATAGAAGCAAAAGTAATATAATTTTAAGTCGATCCATACCAAAAATAGGAAATCACCGACTGACAGCGCATAGTACTCATTCCTATCCTTAGGACTATATCCCTTCAAACCAGCCGTCAGAGGAATCAGGCAGAATAGATGAACCTGCAGCAAAAACTGAAGATCAACGAATCTGGACTTTGGTTGACTAAGAAGGGCAAAAGTACCAGAGCCAAGAGCCCCAGATAAAAGGCAATGTTCTCAACCCAAATTTACAGCAGGTAGGAGAGAAAATGTAACAAACACCAGAGAGGAGATGAAATGGGAGGGTTTGGATAAAAGTTATAAGAAATGAAATTAGAAAGGGATAGAAACAAATTTTAAAAGCAAGGTACAACAACTTAATTGTATGGAGAAAGCCTAAAAAATGATGAAGGGATATGAACTGTGGAATGACATATGTGACCTGACAACAGATACTAAAGTTGGTCATAAATTACATATAATCACCTTGTGCAGATTAAATGTAGCTGCTCCAGCTTCTGAATACTGTTCACCTCTAATCCTACTTAAACATAGATCCAGCATTGTGTGTTATTTACTGCCCAGTAGTCTATACTGCATACTTCACTGTCCAAAAACCTATATAGATATTTATAGAAGATTCACATAGCAGCTTTTATCCTGGGATTGCTCATATTTTTAATGTGTAAATGTGTCAGACACTGAGGGTATGGTGCATGTTACAGATGAGCAAGAATGAGACATAGGGAAGTAAATGATTTGTCAAAATATGCCCTTTATGAGAGCCAAGCTTCCTTTTCCAACCAACAGACTACGCTTCACCAGAAATTACAAGCAGAACTATAATACATAATTTTATCATACCCTGGAGGGTCAATATATGGGTTTAGATCAATCAAACCACTGAAAGCATGAGAGTACAATACAACACATTCAGCAATTTTTAATAATTTGATATTACATTTGTAATTTAAAAGTTTGTATTACAGTTGTAATTTAAAAGTTTATCTAAGATTAAACAAACATCACTTGGTTGGCTGCCTTTTTAATCATTTATCATGAATACTAACTGTATGCAAGAAATTAAAATTGAATTGATAAGGGAATATATTTTTCTTCACTATACAATAGGTAAAAGCTGTGACAAAGAGGCAATCATAAAGGATAGATTAGTGATAATGTTTTCAGTTTGTCACTTAGCAACCTGGCCCGTACCTGCTGCCATTGCAAATAAGCTAAAATAATGGCTTTATGGTGCTAGAACTGCTGCCCTGAAATTAATTGCATAACCTAAACTTTCCCTGACACTAATAAAAACTACAGCTGATAAAATGAAACATTCTGAAATTAAACCAACACCTTCAGTAAATTGTCCTTTTCAAGTATCAGTTGTTGAATTTTCTGTGCTTTAAATTTTTAATAATCGTTTTCTGTTTTTTTTTAATGTATGTATAAGAGGGAAAATAATCAGCTAACTATATTATTTTTCAATCTATAAAAGAAGAAATGCAGTTCTAAACTTTTCATAGGATCCTAAGAAAAATATTTTGGAATGGTGTTTTCAAATATTTTGGAATGAATACATGAATGTAAATTCTCATGATCAAGAAACCTAGATAATAAAAACCTTAAACAATATACTTCAAAATAGGTTAGTGGGGGAAGATGTATTAGAAAAACAGGAAATTGCTATTGAAATCAGTTACGTAGGTGTTTCCCCACTGTGACTGCTTAATGTTCAACAAATTCAACTGCATTTTCTGAATGGTCACTCATGTGAAGCATTTCAATGGCAAATGGAGTGAAATTAAAATTATGAATGTCATCTTCTGTTAAGAAAGACAGAATAAAATCAGGCACAATTCATTTGTTTATTTCCTCAAACATATTTGCTTCTTTTATTTTTTTTTTATCATATCTGTTTCTCTAGGGTGCTCCGCCTCAGCTGCTAGAGTCTTTAGCATGCTAAATCTGGTTGCAGAAGTGAATATTCTTTCTGACTGTTTATAGATTTAGCTCCTACTTTATGGCTATTGTTGTCCAAACACCCTAATGTGCTCTCTAGTGCTATAGGCTGGACAGGGGTTTCATTTGAGAGAGAGCAGCACCATCTACTGTGACCTGAAAGCTTTGCTCCGCATGGTAACAATACAAAGAGTAAACAAGTCTGATTACACTAAATACATTTCAGTTGGAAATTCCTTACTGTGTTTTTTTTTTAATCTCCTGTGCTTCTTCCAGATCAGTTCTAAGTGTGCATATCACTTATCTGTTAAAGTACAATATTTCATACATGTCTAAGAGCTGTATCATAGAACAATACAACTCTAGAAAATTTAAGATGAAGGAATAATATTAATTCAACCATGTTGCAGTGACAGTTTATATTTTCAAACACAGTAATTTTAGATGACTTGGTTGGGGTCTTCTTATCCAAAGTGGGAGGGTAAAGATATAAGAGTTTATTTTACGCAGGTGATATTCTCTTAACACTTGTGTGAAGCAGCAGCATTAACATAGGTGTATTGTACAGTATGTACTTCTAATAATGACGATGCTATTGTCATCCATGTATACTTTTGATTCTTCTCTTTTTCTAGACTGTCTACAAAGCCTGGCTCTGTTCCCAGTATTTTGAAGTCACACAGTTTCACTGCAGCAACAGAATTCCTTGCAAGCAATACTGTTTGGAGGTTCAGACAAGGTGTCCATTTATATTACCAGACAATGATGATGTCATCTATGGAGGACTATCAAGTTTCATCTGTACAGGTACAGTGCAGATTAGCACGTCTCACTAGTTCTCATTCTAAACTTAACCTTGAAGAAGAGTTCAGCTTTTTTTTTCAAATAGTTTTAACTAAGAGAGCCTGAAGGCATTCTTCATCAAATAATTGTTCAAAGGTTTTAATAGTTAAATCAATACTTTCAATGCTTCGTTTTCACTAGCTTATCTGTGACCATAGTAATTAACATTACAAAAGCACAGTTCTCATAGAAAAAATGCTTCTGACCTTGTGTTATACTTAGTAATTTGATTGTGAAAAGGTAATTCTGAGTTATATAATACTAAGTTATTTCAGAGAAAATTGTGATTAGAGCTGTGAAGCTGGTTTTTGCAACACCTGTTTTCCATATGCCCTTAAACAATGTGTCTACTGCACACTTAAAAATATGGCTGCCCTACCTGTGTAATTTATTCATGCCCTAGTACCAACTTTTACAGGAACATTGTTAAGATAAAATCCATGGGTTATTTCATACCTCCCTGTTGGGATCAAAGGACTCAAAGGACCCAAAACACAACAAAGAACTCAAAAAGCTTTGCTGTTAGAGGGATTTGGAAGAACGTGAGCATACTACCTTAAGGAAGTTTGGATTTAGATGGAACTCTACTCTCATCCCTGTGGTTTCAGGATCCTCCATGAGAGACTCAGGCCCTTTCTACTCACAATGAGCATCATTCACCCATGATATGGTCTTGATGACCTCCCCTTGCAAATGCACAATTCATGAATGGTGTGTATGGGAATGAATGTACTTCATTCCAGCAGTAACTTCCATGGAAGATAAGCAGGACCATGCCCCAAAGCACACATCCATGCCTTCACTTGCTATAGTCCTGCCTGAACTTCAGAGCCTGGTGGGTTTGGAATAGAAGAGCTTCTACAGGCTTTGGTGCCATGGAGTAGCTCTTTCCCAATGGACTCTTCCCCTCTGACCAATCTGTCTCTCTTTGTCTTCAGTTACTTTATGTATGCTTTTAACAATATTATATTACGAGAGTTACCATTGTTTTATGTAGCTTACCACTTTCATCATTGAAACAATGTGTTTACCATTTTCATTTTAGTAGCTTGACAGGGACATTTCATAAATTCTGAGATGTATCAAAAAATCAGTGGGTTGAAACAGCTAAGAATGATGGCCATGAGATATGGATGCCTAGATGTCAAATCTTAAAAATCAGTTCCCTCCATTTTCTGATTGCAGCGCATACTGCCCAGCTTGGTTATGTACCAACTTTCATACAGACCCTATGGCTCTGGATTCTTATATTTTCTATTTTCCTTATACAGTGAAGCATATTCTTCCAGACAGAGAGCTGGCTGGCATAAGAAAATCTAAGAGCTCCAAGCTCTGAATCCTTCAAACTAAGCATAGTTAATATCTGTTGTTCTGTCTCTGGAAAACTAGTATTATAAGCCATAAGCAAATAGTATTAATGGCTTCATCCCAGTTTTGGAAAAATCTGTATTACAATGAAGGTCTACCAGTTGGATGCAGGGAAGATATACCTAAACTTTTATTCATATAGCAAGATGCTGTAAGGAAGGATTGGGAGACTTTGTAAGTTTGAACTAAATTTATCCTATACCAGCATAATGGAACAACAGTTTTATAGATGAATGTAAAAACACAGAAATATAATATCACTAATTTGCAAAATTGTCTTTTTGGGGTAGCTCATTTCCTTAGTATTTATTATTATCACCCAAACTTTCAGTTAAGGTCACAAAGGGATGCAGATGCTTAGCACCCATGAATATCAAAGTATTTGTAGATGTTCAGCTCATTTTAATAAAGTGGGAATTAGGTGCCTAAATAGTAGTTAGACATCAAAACACCTTTGTGGCATCTGGACCAATTGTCTAAAGTTGTCCACCAAATATTGAGGGTCCCTAAATTACAATCTTCATATGAACATTTGATCTTAAATTGTTTGACTTCATCAAATCATGATTCTATGGCACGGTATAGAACAGGACATGGGAATCCTATATGCTACATCGAAAACATTGTCTTTTAACTGATAGGTTGATTTGTAAAATCTTTGGCATAATATTTGGTACATTTTAGGAATTTGGGGGATTCTGATACCAAGTTTTTTTATATAGCATCTGGCAGAAAAGCTAAAGAATTCAGGAACTCCCATTTCATGAAGACAGACAATGATTGTATGGAATATGTAAGGAAAAATAACAGTTTTGTTTTCAATTGCATTTTTTCTCAATTTAAGATAAGGAAGCCCAAACCATAGGTTAGACATTGAGGAAGTTTGAGTTTTAAAGTGTTCCTTACAATCCATCCCACAACACAGCTTTGAAAATACATATCCACTTTTAGTTTGTCCAGCACGTGCATTTCCCAAGCCAGTCTCAAATAAATAATGATGCTTATCAACTTTTCTGAAGGTCAAGATTTTGCAGCTAGACTCACCAAACAAACTTTGACTCAATGTTGCAACACCTAACTTTTCAATCCCTCATCTCCCATGGGAATCCGTGGCGTTGAGTTCAATATTCAGGTTCGCTATACAATGCATGGGAAGATTTAGGTGTCCCAAGATGGAATTTATAAAACTCAGCTGAGCAGGGAGCTGCTGTAGGTAGCCAGTAAAAAAAGCTGAGGGCAAGGTGATAGTTGGGAAGAGAGAGATTTTGCCCTGTCCATCCTAATAAACAGACATATTGCTTTGGGGATACACCTATTTTTGTATTTGTTGCATTAGTTGTTCCTCCTATTTGTTGATATCTATCTTTAATTCATGCCTCTGCCTGAGAGGAAATTTAACAATATCTTCTATGTTGTGGGATAAGCACTAGACTATCAATCTGTGTTCTCTTCCTTGACCAGTGAATTAATCCGTGTAAAGTAGAATATCTTCCCTAGGAGAGAACAGTGCCCTGCCCTGAGATACTCTATAACCTGGTAGTTAAGTCAACCTTGAGACAGGTGTGGATTTATATCTCAACAAGAGAAGGGAATTCAGCCCAGGTCTCCTACATCTAGGGTGGGGCCCCAAACCTTTCAGCTATAAAAGAAGGCTCGTTCTTTCTCCTCCCATTTTCTATTATGAGACAGTGGAGGAACAACTAATGTGCAGATCACCAGGGATCCTGGTTTTCTCTGATTAAAAAAATCCCCAATTTTTGGTGTTAAAGAAGTAACCCCAAATCCACATTTTTCAGTGTTTAAAATGATGGATATAGATATAGTGGTGTTTCATTTTCATCATGGAAAAATGTGGATTTGGGGTTACTTCTTTTTTTTTTAAATGAAAATTGGGGATTTTTTTTTTTTTTTTAATCAGAGAAACTAGTATCCCTGCAGATCACATGCACAAGCAAATTAGCCATAGGCATGTCTCTATGGTGTATGAGCTCAGACGGAATTAACTTGAGTACCAGAAGAAGTATAGCTGCATTAGTTCTGCCTGGGCTAGTTGTGCCTGATCCTACTAATTATTCAATGTGGTGCACCTGCTAACATAACTATACTGATTCCTGTATCCAGCTTCTTTAGGCTATAAACAGATGTCACCAAATGAAGCAGATTAGCTGTGCTGAGATGTGTCCCAGCACAGCTGATCCAGTTCATTGGGTGACACAGACATTGCCCATTGCCCCTGCTGCTCTCTAGGCTTCAGTGGCCCAATCCTGTAGGACAACTGCAAATAGACCCATATCTTTGCGTGCAGATCCCTACCTGGCAAATCCCCTGCTGGGGGATTCCTAGGGTGCGTGTTTGCAAGTGGAGAACCTGGGGTTTCCCCATTTGCAGAAGTGTTCCTCACATCATGTCACAGCAGCATGATATGTGCCCAGGGCATTTCTGAAGCATGACCCTGAAAATGAAAGAACCTGGGCAGACACTTTGGGGGCTGCATGACCCATGAATAGGAATTTGTAGGGTACTCAGGATCAAGCTCCTGAAGCCCCAGAAGCACCTGCTGCTCTGGGTTGCCTGTGTTCTCCTACCATGAAGCAGACATCCACCACAAAAAAGCAGCATAGTTTTATATCACCAGTGTCACAGCCATAAACTTTGAGCATTTGAGGTCCAACAAAGGGCATGGATGTCTGTTTGGTTGGCCTTTGCATTGCCATAAAACATCTTATAGCAATACAAAGGTGACATTTGTTTCCAGCCTTGGAACATTGTGCCTTTGGTGCAAACCTTTAGGCATAGGAAATTTTACTGTAAAAATCATATGCATCCATGAGCTTACTATATCTCCAGGGGGTTGGGTGACAAATTCAGAGGCTCTAGGTTTCTTACTCAAGTACCTCATGTGGCACTGATGTGCCTAAACCAAGCCTCAGTCCCTTTGTGGGATCTATTTCCTGAACTCAGAGGTACCACCAAGACGAAAGAGCAAACTCCACAAGCAAGGATTTCTCTTATCACAAACCCTCACTCTGTTAAATTTGGCTTAAATGGGTTGAGCAACTCTCCTTGTCATAATAGTGATAGAATCTTACATGAGAAAAGACTGAAGGTTCTCTTTCAAAATGTTGGATGTAACATTTGTAGAGATCCTGAATCTAATTGTGTTAGTAATCAATTGTTAGAAAATTTGTTTTTGAGTATTTCTCCACCCCCCGCCCTACCCCCACTATGCAGGATTTTGACTAATAGTGGAGCAGAGTTAATTAGACTAAATTTGTTCCAAGAAGAAAGGGATCCCTTTATTTATGGCATGATTTATCTATGAGAAGTCCCAACCTTTTGGAGCTCCTGATTTTCTTTAATGAGGTTTCAAAAACAATAGTTTCACAATCAACATTTCTCTTTTTCTTCTCCATGGTAACAGGCTGCTTTCTCTAGGGTCCATTAGAGATGTAGGTTATTGGAAAGATGTACTGATTGACTCCTGTGTTTAACTGCTATTGTGAAAGCCAAGAAAGTGAATAAAGTATTGGTGATTACTATTTTATATGGTGTCAAGACAGCACATACTATGCAAATATAAATGTTAGATGCTAATT